CATTCAAGAATTTCGAACTAAATGCTGGCAGATGGCATTTCATCAACAATGTTTTATGGAGCCAAGTATTATATCATTTTCACCGCAAATCAAATTAATGCTAATATTATTATTTTCTTTTATACATAGCAATTTAAAGTGAATGGAATATATGATCTTTAAATGATAAGAAATGAGAACTTCCATTCATGAAATTCATGAACGCACACATGTAGACTCGATAAGTCGGCCATTTAGGAAACGATTGATTGTTACGTCCGATTTATCAAATTTACATGTGTATTCATTAAGAAGCTACACATCAAAGATTCGATGATCAACACATGTAACCCTCGTGTTGAAATTTTGTCATGTAGCTAGTACAAAAATTAAAAATTTGATTAGCGTGTAATGTTGCATCCGTCGATTTTTGTCAATGCTTCATCCATATAATATATTGTGTGTGTTGATCCTAATATAGTAATAATGATAATAGCAAGCAATTTCTTATATATTTCATTCTTGCATCCAATAAAATTTTATTGGATGATTCCCTCTCTCATATTTTGTTCAAAAAGCCCAGAGTTTACTAATTTATTTATTTTTATTTAGTCACGCACGATAACGAAATTTTCTTTAAGAACTTGGTTTTTATATTTTTTATCTACTTAATAAAAAAATTTTTTTTTTTAATATTAAAAACAGGTTTAAGCCCTAATTTTAGTCTTATTGTTTAATTTAACCCAAATTTTTATTATTTTATCATCCAAAATATCTGTTGTAGCACATCCCACAAGATGCCAATTACCAGTCGATATTATTACATACATAATAATGAAAATCCAAGTATTTTTCTACATGGAACAACATAAATATCTAAGCAAAACCCAAAAAACAAGATGTTTGGATATGAGCAATAATAAAATTTCAATTCCAATTATTAACATCCTCCCTCTTCAAAACTACCAAAACTATCATGAAACAATGAAACATCGTCTCATCCATTCATTATTCAAGAATATTTAATTTCCCATATTGATCGAATTAAATCAACCTATTACTATATTTAATCAATTTCCTTCGACCATTATGGTCATTACGATTATCGTTACGATTACCCTTAGTATATTAAAATAATTTTTGTTAAACCATCCATTATATTTTTTCAATTTAAATAATTTATATATAAAGTTTATTAATTTGAAATTATTATAAATATGACTTATTTATAAATTTCTTTTTTTTTAAAAAATCAATAAAACCCATAAAGAGGTAGCTAATAAAACTTTACACATCTAAAATTTACATTAACAAAAAAAATCATATAAATTTAAAAAGAAATGAATAATATAAAATTATTCAGTTTAAAACATCGTAAAAAAATCTCAAAGCCTGTTAATCATGTTGCATCAAGTAAAGTGGTTTCACCTACTAGCAATCAGGGTGTCGTTAAAAATAAAAGAATATCTTGGTCTTTCGACAGACGAGAAAAACAAGAAGTAATTATATATTAATTAATTACTTTGGAATTTCATTAATTTATTAGCACCTTTACATCTTTTTTTGTAATTTATATAGATTTTGATGGAACCATATAGTTATTTATTGTCCAACCCTGGTAAAGACATCCGAACGAAATTAATTGAAGCTTTTGATTTTTGGTTGAAAGTACCAAAAGATCAATTGACGATCATCAAAAAGGTTGTCGAAATGTTACATAATGCTAGTCTATTGTAATTACTTTATTTTTTTTATTTTTTATTTTTTATTTTTTATTTTTTTTTTTTTTTTTACGATTTCAATTCTTTTTTTAACGAATAATAATTTCAAAAAAAAAAACTTTTTCACTCGGTACGATATTAAAAGAATTGACGATGTACAGGATAATTCTACATTAAGAAGAGGTGTTCCAGGTAAATTAATTATAAATTATAAAGACAACTATGATTATTTCAAATTAACCAATGAACCTTCTTACATTCATCATAAATATAGTTGCACATCAAATTTTCGGCATACCAACTACAATAAATTGTGCAAATTATGTCTATTTTTTGGCACTCGACGAATTGTCTAGATTAAATAACCCAAAAATGCTACACATTTTTACCGGTAACTATTATACATTTTTATTGAAATATTTGCATCATTGGATTAATAATTAAGTCAATCAATCAATCAATATTGTTAATTTAAACTTGCAGAGGAATTATTAAATTTACATAGAGGTCAAGGCATGGAATTGTACTGGAGGGATAATTTTATTTGTCCAAGCGAGGAAGAATTCATAGAAATGGTATCAAATAGTAAGTCATTCGCCCATCAAATACATGCATGATTTATCGTTTGATCATGTGGCATATACATTAATCAATTTAATGATTTTTTAGAGACTGGTGGATTATTACGTTTAGCGGTGAAACTTATGCAAGAAGCAAGTCAAAGCAAAATGTAATTATTATTCATTCAAATTAATTAATTAATCGATCGATTAAACTTATTACATTATATGTATGAATGAATTTATCATCTTTTTTATTTAGCGACTGTGTACCGTTAGTCAATATAATCGGCATACATTTTCAAATACGGGACGATTATATGAACATGCAATCTGAAAAAGTAAATCTCAAAAAAAAATTTTTTTGTTTATAAAACCGGTCAAGCAATATATGCTCAACTAACATTTCTCTTTTATAAATAAAAATTGAAATAGTATTCTGAAAATAAAGGTTTTTGCGAGGATTTAACAGAAGGGAAATTTTCTTTTCCGATTATTCATTCAATTCAAACAGATAATTCAAATCGTCGATTAATTAGTGAGTAGCAAATAAAATTTCTTGAAGCACATAATTAAATAATTATTAGAATTAAATTATTAATATAATTAATTATAGATATATTAAAACAACGTACGAATTCACTGGATTTAAAAATGTTTGCGATGAAAATAATTGATGAAACTGGTTCGTTCGCTTATACAAGACGTTACCTTACCAAAACTGAACAAACCGCTCGTGATGAAATAAAAAAATTGGATGGAAATCCTTATTTGGAAAAAATTATAGAGATGTTACATGTCGACGATAATTCTTAATAATATAATGTACATTTATAATCACGTTTATTATAGAAATTTCGTTTAGCTTTTATGTTATTTTTAAATAAAAGTAGAATTTTATTATTAACAGTCTCTGTGTACGTAACAAAAATAAAGGGTCAAATGTACATTACTAATAAAATTTTTGTGCCACATATCAATTTTTTATATTAATATGAAAAAATACGAAAAATTTTTTTTGTCTCTAATGCAAGTCCCCATTTTTCTTAAAAAAAGGTTATCCCCGAGTATTAAAAAATATAATCAGCATTTTGAATTTATAAAAAACAAATTATTTTAAAGATAAGAATAATATTAAAAGTTCAATCTTAAAATTATTAATTGACGATCCGTGAATGAATGAGAATTTTTGTGTGATCGGTGGGGCAAAAATGTAAAAAAATCACCAATCAATAATGTTTAACAAACAATAAAGCACAACGTTTCTGTATTACAAACTTATTCTTTTTATGTTATATATAAAGTAAATCTCATAGATTACTGTATTAAAATATTAAAGGGTTTGGAATGTTTCTTGAAAACTTTTGTATGTAGGCCGCTGAGATTTCAAGAAGTCAATAATATATAAAAATTCGGAATTTTTTAACTTTCAGCCAACACTATCAAGTATTCTGACCAGAGTTATGCTCTTTTTTTTATCGGTTTATTAACAAAAAAACTTTTATTTTAATAAAACCCACCAAATGAACCTATGTATTGTTATAAGTCAAGTCAATAAAATAACTGCAAAAGAATTTTAAAGAGGTATTTAACAAGCCTGAAAGAATTCTAAGGTTGTTTTCTATATTTTTTGTGTGTACATGAGAAATAACTTGTGAAGATGGTGAGATTTGGGGTATTTCTTATTTTATTAATAACAATTAGTGACAAAATTTCATAATAAAATGATCAACATTGCACCCATTCATAAACGGATTGCCAATTAATGATAAAAAAATAAACGTCCTAATTCTTATACAAAAATTCATTTTTTTTTACTTTGCCACTAGGTATGCAAAAAAACCACATTTGTTGCAAATATTATTATTATTACAATAGATTTGATGTCATAAAACAACTATTTTATTTTTTAAAAAAATTGCACGGTGTAATTAAAGCTTTTGATGAGTTCTGTAGCCTTTGCACAATTGTACAACAATTTGATCAGTTTGAGAAGTATGTATGACTCCTACCCAACTAATGTTAATTTGCTTGCATCAATAATAAACTGGTGTAAGGTAATTTTTTTAATTTAATTTATTTTTTTTTTTTTATTATTAAAAAAAAAAAGACTGTCGTTTTTCAATTTAAAGTTATTTTTTATATGCAGGGCTTGTGTTGAAAATTTATCCACATCGTGGTTTTTCATTCAGGTGTGTTGTTTCAATAAATGTTAATTGGAATTTGTCTCATGAAAAGATATATTGTTTTATTAATAGTTATTATTATTACAATTTTTTTAAATTTTTTTTTAGAAAAAAAAAAAAAAAAACTGCCATTTTTCAATTTTAAGTTATTCTTTACAGACAGGGCCTTTGTATTTGAAATTTATCTATCTTGTGGTTTTTCATTCAAGTGTACAGGAAGGAGTGAACCTTGCATTATTTTGATTAGATTGGGTCGGGTTAAAGGCATCTAAAAATAAACTTGCTTTTTTTCTTTATATAAATAATAAATAAAAAGATGTAAATGAAGTATTTTTTTTTTTTACAATTATTAATAAATAAATAATAAATTCAAACCTTCAAACTTATTGCTATTGAAATATAAAAAATATAAAACAATACAATAATCATAAACACAATAATGCCAAACAACCTCAATACAATTGTTTATGTGCATGATCACAATGAAAAACCAGTGAATGGGAAATACTTTGTAGTCAATGCCATTGGTATCTGTAGAGTGAAATATCAGGAAGATGAAGGTACCTTTACACCTGGTAGGATTTTACCCAATGGATGCTAAAGTTTCATGTTCATTGGAACACTTTTCAAAAAATGATGTGGTGAAAATATCTGGAAAATTTGTGATTAAAAAAAATGAAGATGATGAACAAGTCATAAAGGTATAGAATCTTACGAAAATATTGACCTCCCTCTTCTCCCACACAAAAGATTAAACTGACAAATGATTTTATTTTTTAGGTGGTTCTTTCAGATCTGGTAATTTTACCCATTAGTCCAAGTGATCTCCCACCAAACCAAATGATTGTCACTCTGAATGCCACAGCCATGGATCCTCCAAACATTACAGAGTTACTACACACTATCAAAATAAATTCCAGTGAATACATTGAATCTATGATATCAATGGATTTTACAATGTACCATTTAAACACTGACCAGCACCTCCAAAAAACAACCTCTATGATCAAAAGGGAAAGCATATTGTTTGCCACAGGAAATCTGGAGATCCAAGACATATGTTTGATGATTCGGATCACATATGTAAATTTTGTTGAGGCGAAATCACCATCATCTGTTCTGAGCTCACCAAAGGCTGGCTGGGAGTGGGCAAGCCAGAAGAATGCTAAAAAGTCATCGTCATTATCATCATTGGGTGCTGTGATTGAAAGCATTGAAAATTCCAACAACAAAAAATCATCAAGTAAAAGAAAATCTGCAAAACAAAATCCCACATTCAAAATAAAAATTCCGAAGCTGGCAGAAATTGCAGTTAACACTACCAAAGAGGTTGAACAAGATCATTCTGATTTGGCAGCTGGTGCTGATGATGAACCTAACATTGTGGAATAAAGAATTATACTCCTCTTTCTTTTTACATGTCTCTTTTTTTTTTGTTTTTGATGCAAATACTTTAGATTTTTATTTTGCTTGACATTTTTTTTCTTTGCTCTTTCTATTTTTTCCACCCCTTGGGTAGATGTTTCTTTTAATTGGTTATATTAATTTAATCGATTAATTTTTTTTTTTGAACAATTTTAATCAAATAATTTGTGTTACATAAATTATAAATAAAAACGCGCTTTTTTAATAACATTAGGACTCGGTTCATTTAATGGTAATATTGTTACCTACATTACTAAACAATATTTCAAGAGCCACCTCCATTCTGAACTTGGTGTTGTTTTGAATGAAGTTAATCTTTTAGAACTTTCTTAATATTGAATGGGGTGAAGAAATATTCCGTGTACCAAAATTGGGTGAAAAACGTGTACAAATATTTCTAAAAAAGAATAACTTAGCATTTTTTCAATTAATCAATTTGGCCATTATTTTTCAATTAATCAATTAATCATTTTTTGACCAATTAATCAGTCAAAAATCAATCAATTCCAACTCAAAAAAAAAAGTTTACTCCTCTAAATAATGTAATCTAACTGATATGTATGTAATTGATTATTGATTAAATCCATCCTGGTTTTTTTTCACACGTATGCAAAATTATCCTTGTAAATAAATATCAGGGCAAAAACTTTATTATTAAAATAACAAATGTTAATTTTTGCATATATAAATAAACTAAATGATGTGTAATTGTAAAACTTTTGTTAATCTGTGAATAATTTTTACTCAAAAATCATATATTAGTACATCCAACAGGTAGATTGATAAATCAACCAAACAAACCACTAAATAAAATATCACCTTTCTTATCTTTCATTCAAACAAACATAATAACAACAAAATCACACTTATTAAAATTCAAATGTCATTCCATGTCTATCAGATACTGGAATTTGGACCATTGCAACCCAATGAACAAGTTTTTGAAAACTTCACAGACAGTAGAACAGGTGCCCCAAGCACAACTGAAGATTTAAACACAATTCATCAAACATCCTCCAATGAAATCACTGCTCAACATCCAACACATCCAACTCCTTCTGGTGAAATTGTTCCACATCCAATCATTTCATGGGAACCCTCACAAAAATTTATGTAAGTCAAACAAAAATTTGAATCCTACATTCTGTATCAATACCATGCTCTTTTTACAGCAGGTTGCTTTATCCTGAGAAAGCAAAATGGACTCAAAAGATTGAAAATTTTGAATACCCATTAATTCAAGCAAACCTAAACCTAAGGCTCATTGAAAATCCAAATCCACCAGAAAATCGTATAGCAGTGTGTAGTTCATGTAAAAAAAATCCAAGAAGGAACTTCCCTCCTTATCTACACCCAATCCCTGTAGAAATCCAACAAATACCCCTTTTCAAGAGAAAATACTTGTCTCTGATCTATTTACACTCTTCTCTTGGATGGACATCAAACTTAGGTGCTTACTCTGAATATTGGTCAATTGTTGGAACATTTGGGTACTCAAAAAACATTTGATCATTGACATTCTATTCTGGAATAATTGGTGCTTTTTTGGAAGAGTACAATCCAAACAGCCCAGGATCACTGTTGGTTTGATAGGTCTTTAATTGCAGGTGCAAATTGGTTAGCTGACAATAATCCATATTTGAGAGAATATAAAAATGCACTAGTGACAAATTCCTCAGGATCTGTATCTTCATCTCCCACTGCAACACACTTACCAGATGATGAAACTGCTCCAGAGTTTCAAAGTGGAGATATAATAGTGCCTCATCAAAACTTCCCTTCTGAGATACATAATGAAGATTCTCATTATTCAAGACTAATAGCAGGCTTCATCAAAAATGATGACAGTAATGATGATTCAAATTCATTACCAGTCTCTTTTGATTTTGATCATCTTGAAGCTTTGCTGTTCCCAGATCTATTCCCAGATGGCCATGGAGATTACAAAGAGATGAAGAGTTGTTCAAGGAATCAGCAGCAGAGAATAGACACATATGGGAAGTACATCAAGCAACATCTTTTGGGTGTTGATAGCAGGTTTCATCTGCATCACCACTGGCCAGCATGGTCATATCTCCAACTTGAAAAACTTAGAAACTTCCAAAACAACCAGCGAATTGCCAATCAGAAAAATGTAGATGAAACTCACAGACTCCCAACAGCAGTGGAAATCATTGAGGAAAGTGCTTACATGAGTGGTTGGCAGTTCAGTGAAACAAACACATCAACCATTCCATCATTTATTCGAACTGGTGATACTTATTTTAACCAGAAATTGATGCATCTCACACTATAATCCGAAACTTAAACCTCCCAACCCTTTTCATCACTTTGTCAATGGCTGAAGGCCATTGGATTCACCTACGTCACATTCTAGGAGCATCTGACAATTTTGATACAGTTCCTTCAAACAGGCCCTTACACACAACCCTGCATTTTATTCACTGTCATCAGAATTTGAAAAGGCTAATTTGGAAGGATCCAGATGTGTGTGGGTGGGGTACTTGCAAAGATTTCTTTGAACATGTGGAATTTCAAAACAGGGGTGCAGCACACACACACACAGTGTGTATTGGACATCCAAGCCAATTCAAGAGATGATTTCTGAAAATGTTATTTGATCTGGTGTCCCTGATCCAAATTTAGAGCCTGAATTGTATGAATGTGTTATGAGGTTGCAAATTCACTCATGCAACTCAAAATGTGATGGACCAGCCCCTTATGGTGAAAGATGCAAGAAAGGTTTCCCTCAACAATTTTCTCCACATACTTATGCAGATCCAAACAACCTAAGATACACTTATCGTTGTGTGAATCCTCTTGACCAGTGGGTGGTTCCATACCATGCCTCAACCCTGCTAATTTGGAATGCACACATGAACATTCAATACATCACATCAAGAGGCCTGGCCAAGTATATCAACAAATACATTGCCAAACCAGAACCTTCCCATCTATTTAATGTCAAAGAAGGTGACTTATTTCGTGAATATGTTCATGCACGTCGATTAGGTTCTATGGAACTTATGTTTCTATTGTTGGGAGAAACAATATGTAATTCATCAGTTCAAGTAAAGTACATTGTGACTGACCCCCCATCAGTCAGATCAAAGTGCATCCTTCCATTTTCCAGGATAAATCTTGATTATGATGAACTTTATTGGAAAGACTTGATTGAAAAATATTTAGCCCAACCAAATGGGGAACCCTTTGACAATATAACTTACAAGGATTACATTGAGAAATATGACATAAAACTATCAGCAATCAATTCAAGTAGCTGAACAATTTATAGAGACAACCTTGGAAACTATGTGGTGAAAAGAAAGACAAATATCTTGACAAGGTATAGAAATCTTTGGTTAGAGCATGGTGAATTGTATTTTTATCAAAAACTTTTGCTAAGAGTACCAGCAAGAAGTGAAGAAGATTTGATAGGAACCTATGAAACCTATCGTGATCATTACCTTGCAAGGTTCCCTGAAGAATTTGGAAATTCAATAAAATCAGATCAGCAAAATCAACATCACCAAACCATCAATATGCTTGACCAATACATCAATCTCATTGAAAATCTCTTATACTCTTTACAATCACTGCTAACTCAAGATATTAAAGGCATAATCAGAAGTCAGCTTGAAAACATCAAAATTTTACCTCCAATTGTTCCAAACAACAGTATGTTGAGCTTACCTTCATGTCAATATAACTGTGTGCAGACAATTTTCAATTACATGGGACCCAGAGACACATATCATTATCCATATTTTTTCATTAGTGGATCAGCAGGCTCTGGTAAGTCAATCCTGATAAATCTATTTGCAAAAAAATTCTTGGAGTTGAATAAAAACTTCTTGCTGATGGCACCAACTGGGGTTGCTGCTGTCAATATTCAAGGACAAACCATTCATTCAGCTCTCCGGATATGGTCACATGGTGGAAGGCATCAAACATTAGCATTTGCTGATCAAGAATTCAACCAAGAACTTTGAAAAATTGACACTATTATCATTGATGAAGTCTCTATGGTTCGAGCTTCATTGTTGACCTTCATATCAGAGATGTTTTCTGGAATTTATCAAATCTTTGCACCATTTGGAGGAATTAATGTTATTCTGATAGGTGATCTTGCTCAACTTCCCCCAATAAATGGACATCCTGTATACAAATCTCCTATTTGGAAAGTTTTCTACCCAATTTTTCTTCGTCACTCTCATCACCAACAAAATGATCCATTTTTCTATAATGTCTTGCAAAAGATAAGACTTGGAAACAAAACACCATCTGTTTGGCAATTTTTACAAGAAAAAGCTAATCAAAGTCTTTCTTTAGAAATGTCTTCATTGCACACAAGCTATATTGTTGGGTTCAGAAAGAGTGCAAGTTATATTAACGAAATAATCTGCAATCACTTACCTGCATTGAACAACAAGTTTATGATATCTGAGGCGATTGACTGTGTAGATGGCAGGATGGTGGATAATAGTTATGAACATCTTATAAAAAATAAAACCAATCTCCCTGGATCACTTTGTTTGCAACTTGGTGCAAAGGTTATGTTTTTGAACAATTCACAAATTCACCATCAAATATGTAATGGAAGTTTTGGCATAATCACTGATGTTGACATAGAAAACAACAATGTGAGAGTTGCCTTCTCTGTATCTTCAGCAATTGTGGATATGGCAGTTTCAAAGCAAACATCCCATTTTTTAATCAATGGTGTCCCTGCAACCAGAACCCAATTTCCTTTACATAATGCCTTCGCTTTGACTGTTCACAAGTGTCAAGGGTTGACATTGCCAGATGTGTCACTTTCCCTGGACTCTCAAATCTTCACTTCTGGTCAAGCCCATGTTTCCTTGAGCCGTTGTTCAAAATGGGAAGATGTAAAAATTAATTCACTTTCTAGAGATGCAATAGACTTGATGATCAATGATCAAATCATATCAAAAGATATTATAATATGCGGTCTATTGGTAGATGGTAAGTATTTTCAAGGATTTATTTGCCAAATAGCAATAAATACAACTACCTTATTCACACTTTCTCATCTGCTAAGGTTACCAATGTAATTTATACACAATGGACTTGAAATATAGTGGAATCTATAGAATGATTCTCTTGGGTGTCTTCTACCTTCCTCGTAGCCATCATGATTTTGGTGTTTTCCAAAGAACAATTGAATTATTAACTCAATTCAAAGTAAGTAAAAGAACATGCTTTTTATATGATGATTTTTTATGGTACATCACTGATTTGTTTTGTGTTTTATTAAAAGGTGATTGTTAATCAAACATCTGAAATATGCATCCAGAGCTTAAGAGGGCTGCAAGATACAAGATGTACAAAACATGATGGTTCCACTGTTCTTTCCGAAATTGTGAAAAATAATGAATCTTCTTCTAAATCACCACCTCATGAAAGGATGACAAGATCTTCATATCATTCTCCAATCAAAATTCCGCTCTTTTAAATAAGAAATTGATGATAAAATTCTTTGCTTTTGCTGTTCTAGTTTCGATTTACAATGACAACGTTTTTTAGTTGGAGGTTGCAGCAATTTAACATTCGGTAATGTTTCCAAATCATTATAACCAGCCGCAATTAGTTTTTGCTTATCTCAAGTTTTAATATAAATGGTACATTATTATAATTTCCTTTTTCTTGAGTTCATTTTTATTGTTTGAATCTTTCATTATGAAGGGAAAAAATAAGAAATAGAACCAAGATCAAATGATTTAAAATCTTTATCTATTAATTATGTATATATATTGTTAATAATTGTTTTATTTGCTATTATGTAAGATATTATATATATTAAATAATAATAAATACAAGCTTTTCAAAAGTGAGAAGTTTTTGAGTGGATAGCCTAGCATAGTATACTATCAACATAATAATAACAGTATACTAATAGTTACTAGAGACAACGAAACATTTTCTGGCTGTTTGCCCATGTTATAAACAACAGTACCAAGAGCATTGAATTTGTAACAATTGTCAAACATTAATCAAATGTTTGCTTCAAACTCTTTTGCAGAGACGTATTCTTCTTTTCCTAATTTATTATGAATTGTGGAAAGATCCATGGGATTTTTATTATATTAGGATATTAAAGAATGCCTAATTTCTCAGCTTTAACTGGCTCATAGAATGGATAAGCATATGCAAAGTGTTGTCACTATTTTCAATTTCGGATATACTGAATGACAGAATTTGAGATCACTATTTTTCTTACAATGAGATAGATGGTTGAGTGATTTGAGTAGGCTCTTTATTAGGGGATTTGATTGTTCTTTTTGGTCTATTCGCTTTGGCATTTTCGATTTTTACAGTGGAGGAGGATGCTGCTCCCTGGTTATTATTTCATTAAACTAATCAAGTATGCAAATATTAAATAAATGTTGCATAATGATTTTTGAATTTAGAATATACATAGGCAACCCCGTTAATCCGAATACCCTGTTAAAATGAATAATTTTTAAAACACCAAAGCCAAACATATGTAAATTACCCCATTAATATGAATGTCACTAATAAAACTTTATAAACCGTAAACTGAAGAAATTTTAATTTTTTTGAAGCCATTTATATGTAAAATTGCCCGTTAATCTGAATTTTTTATAAACCAAAGTGAAATAAAAATTGGGCCAATAATAATAATATACAAGTTACACATCTAAACCATTTATTTATATTATAAAGTACTTTAAACAATTGATTGCTTGCGTCCTACTTATCAAGTTTAGATGTGTATGTGAAAATTGAAATCTATAATTAAAATTTTGGGATGGAGCATTTGGATATGAAATTCTGATTGGCTGATTTGAATATGTTCACATAAATTTCATCATTAGTGCTGATCAATTTATTTTAACATAGTACGATGCAAAAAGTAGATTAAATCACTACATAGTAAACAAATCTTTTTTTTAGTAAAACAATTTTTTTTTTACTGATGATATTCTTAACAATACTTGTATTTCATAAAAACCTATTTTTCTTTGAAACTAGAAATTGCTATTGCAGGCGACTCTGTTGCCACTACCATATATATTATTAATATTAATATATTTTTATTTGTGAAACATTTATCAAGTGACATATAAATAATAAAAATGATAATAATATTTTTAACTGCTGTTGTTTGCAAACTAATGAGCACCATGTACTGTATAAGGTAAGGGCCTTGTCACTATTTCTTCCAAATGCTCATACTCTTTGATCATTGATGGGTCAACTTTAAAAGCATCTCTAGAAAGTGAATTAATTTTTACATCTTCCCATTTTGAACAACGGCTCAAGGAAACATGGGCTTGACCAGAAGTGAAGATTTGAGAGTCCAGGGAAAGTGACACATCTGGCAATGTCAACCCTTGACACTTGTGAACAGTCAAAGCGAAGGCATTATGTAAAGGAAATTGGGTTCTGGTTGCAGGGACACCATTGATTAAAAAATGGGATGTTTGCTTTGAAACTGCCATATCCACAATTGCTGAAGATACAGAGAAGGCAACTCTCACATTGTTGTTTTCTATGTCAACATCAGTGATTATGCCAAAACTTCCATTACATATTTGATGGTGAATTTGTGAATTGTTCAAAAACATAACCTTTGCACCAAGTTGCAAACAAAGTGATCCAGGGAGATTGGTTTTATTTTTTATAAGATGTTCATAACTATTATCCACCATCCTGCCATCTACACAGTCAATCGCCTCAGATATCATAAACTTGTTGTTCAATGCAGGTAAGTGATTGCAGATTATTTCGTTAATATAACTTGCACTCTTTCTGAACCCAACAATATAGCTTGTGTGAAATGAAGACATTTCTAAAGAAAGATTTTGATTAGCTTTTTCTTGTAAAAATTGCCAAACAGATGGTGTAATGTTTCCAAGTCTTATCTTTTGCAAGACATTATAGAAAAATGGATCATTTTGTTGGCGATGAGAGTGACAACCCCATAATCGCTTACAAAATACGATAAAATGATTCAAATAGAATTTGCATAAAAAATGAATCCAGTTTTAATTAACAATATAAAACCAAATCTAATAGGTCTAAATCCCTAAATACGACATAAATCACATAATCTCTAAAAACACTATAAATTACTTAATCATTAAATATGGTTTATACAGATAATTGTCCAGTTTTAAGCGATATTGAGTGGAGGGATAACTGTCAATTTCCAGTAATTCGTGATGGAGAAACCCTATCTAATTGGAAGAAACAGATCTGGAATCAATTGGTGGATTATAGAAATAATAATAAATTGGCTGATTACCATAAGTGATATATTGTTGCTAGAAAGATGGAATCTACAGAAGGATTCAGTTATCGTGTGGCTGTTAAAGTGAACATTGCTATATGTTTTAGCTGTGATCAGTTTGTTTATGTTGATAAAAGAGTAGGATATGCATTATATCACAATTATAAGATGGAGGAACATTGGCATACAAATTGTACTGGAAATAGACATTGTGATATAAGTTTCAAAGAGTATATGGAGCTTAAACAAAAACCAGAAGTTGAATATGATATTTACACAAGGTTAGCTATTTATCAATATGAATTACGAATAGAGAATCTTATCAAAAGAGTTAAACATATTCGAGAAACAGCAAAGAAAAATCGGGCATGTACAATTATACAGAGAAAATGGCTAGAGTATTTCTACCATCCTGATGGTATGTGTGCTAAAGAACTTGCTGAGCATTATAAATTATTATGAGCAGTTTGAGAAGAAATGTGTCAGGTTAGTAATGCATAATTATTATATATATATATATCTATTTGATGTAATTTATCTATTTATTTGATTTATTAATTATATAACTTATTCATATATATCTATTTTAAAATAAAATCACCTAAGGTATTCCTGAGGGCTAGTATCTTGGACTTTTATTCACTGCTATTTCGTGATGATTAATAGTTTTTTACTTTGATTTTTATTTTATCTGTATATATTTTATGGGGCACAAAAAATCCCTAGTGTAGATAGATCCAAGGGGTCATTGCTTTGCAATAATAAATCGTGTTTGTTATTTTTCACATCCACCTCAATTTCAATACAAGGCTGGATATGTACATCTTCTCAATATTATAAGAAGTGGCGAGTAGGATGTATTATATTTCTGCATTAATAAATAACGAAAAAAATAAATAATTATTTGATTGTTAAACCTTGGTTCATTCATCTAATTTCAATGGGGTGTCCCAACCAAGTCATACACTTAAAGGATCGTCTACTGCCATGAGAATTCGTGGTTTTTGATTTTACCAACCCACAAATGCTTATCAATTATCTTGGATTCTTTTTTGGATCATCTGTGTATTGATGTATGATTCTGCATATATCATTCCAGCTTCATCCATGGAGATGACACATTACACTAAATAGTATAATCTCTAACCAATCAAAAACAGCTATTAAGTACACTATACTTGATAGTGTAACACCACATATTATCTATCAACATTTATTTTTATACTCTTTATCACAAGCCTTTTTTAGCAAATTTTTACCATAAACATCATCAGATTGATAATACAGATGTAAGATTAGAAATGTTATAAATACACAATCAATTAGAACTAATTGGTGTTACATATTCCCTTTCAAATTAATTATGATTTATACCCAACCAAGTCCTGATACTGTAGCTAGGTTTAATCAATTGCCTAATCTTCGGGAAGCTAATGAATCAAGAAAGAAACAAAATCATGTTTAAATAGCACATCATACCCAATATCAGATGTGTACAAAAATAAAACCGATGATGTAATAATAAACTCTACTTACTATATAGTCAAATTTATTACTAGTACAATAAAATTCTGCTTACAATTTAATTTTTTGTATATAGAATTTTTAAATACTAATACATCAAATACATTCTGATCAATCATTATTTTATTAAAAATTGATATAACTAATACATGAAAAAGATCTAGATGTAATAAAAGTACATGAATAGATCGATTGTAAAAGTGCATTGTCTACCAATTGCTACCTTGAAGAAAATGCAAGATGCCAAATTCAATCATGTGGATGTGTAAATAAAGTTATAAAATATATTTAATCTCAAAATTTAAAAATTATTAAAAAAACAATTAAACCAACTAGGGTGAAAGTGATTTACACAGTTTTTTTGCATTAGATTCATAAACACTAAGAATTGATCCATTAACTTTGACCCAAGATTCAAGCCTTGATCTGGCTTGCTTCAAGTAATCTTCAGAAGGAAATTGCTTGATCACTGTCACATCACATGTTGAAAGCATGTGAACCCTATAATTTGAATCATAATAAGCATGTCTTAAGTTAATAATAGTCAATATGTTCTTGGGTATTAATAAATTATCTAAATCAATAAAAAACGATTTATTGAATTCGATAAACACAAACTGTCCACTGATATCTGTGGCAATAGCAGTTTGTATTTCAATAGTGATACCATATCG